AGTGTTTTTTTTTTATATAACTTTGAATGGCAAACAAGCTGACGGCCCACCTGATGGAAAGTGGTAACCGTTGCCTATAGACATGAGCAGTACCATGGACATAACAGAGAGAACATACTGTTTCACCCATGATACCTCCCATGCGTTGCCATTCCTGAGGACTCAGGTGTTATTCCTCTGTACCCAGTAAATTCACGCCAAAGTGTATAAATGTAAAAATAAAAATATATGTTTATGTGATTTTAGAATTATTTGTTACAGTCAGTAATATTAAAAAAAACAAGTCTGAACATAAGTAATAATTATTAGAATATAATTATCATATTTTAATTTGTTTTTGTTAATTTTTACTTGAATATTTTATTTATTTATTTATCTTCACCTACACATTGACAAATTGTACTTGCACATAGCAGACATACTGGTGACGTTATAAGACGTTTTATACCTGTTTTTTTTTTATCTATAATTTCACTAGCTTATTCAAAGTTTAATACTAATAACGTAACTATAATTTTAAGATAATTTTAATTGACAAAATTAATTACATAAAACTAACGCTACAATAAGCGCTATCAATAGAAAAAATTTATCCACATTGCTGTAAAATTGACGATAAAGTCGGTTAACGTACACAAAAAAATAAAGCCATATTACAGATTTTTGAAAGTACATATAAAGTGACGCTGCCAATATGAGGAAAATGTCTTTGCTTTCCACATGGCCATATTTCTAAAGATTTCTAACAATACATTCACGGTTGGTTTTATTGTAATTTATATAAGGTAAAATCGTAAACAAGGCAGTATTCTATTAATACAATTTTACCTCAATTTTTTTTTTGTGAAATATATAATATTTTTCTTTGCACATTTCTACATGCATCAATAATTTAAATTTAAGATTGTATTCCATAAAAAAAAACTCCCATCGTGGCAATATCAGTTATTTTGATTAAAAAAACAAGGCATTTTGATTAAAAGACTTAACTACTGAACCGACTTCAATTTTAATTGTAATTTCTACGAGACCAATCTGTGAGTCAATTTGGAATTTTTTTATCTTTTCAGATAAACAATTTCCAAATCGATTAATAACTATGATTTACGAATCGATTAATAACGGAGTTATAAATTGACCAAAAAAAAATATACCCTAATTAAGAACCGTCTCCTTTTTTAAAATCGATTAAAAAACTATAATCAATTTTAATCCTCTCATACTAACATTCTACTCATCGGCACGTTCAGCTATTTTATTATAGATATTATTGGTATGAAAGCATTAAAAAAAAACTCATTTTTCGACGCGTATTTCTTTAGGGGAAGTATTCATTTTCACTGGTCCACCACTCCCATGAAAGGAACTAATAATTTCAATCTCACCATATGTTTTTTATCTTTTTCTAGCCAACGTGGAGACTACACAATGACGGGTCACCGTCCCCTAAACTACGAATAATAAATTTGCCCCTAAAGTGATTTTTCCTCTGAATTGTAACTTTGACAGACCATTCCAGTTCATTGCCTTCTAGCATTACTGTGGGTGTGATTTAGATGAAATCTTACATTCATATAGCCTTCGCACTATGTACACCTTACTATTAAGAATTTTACTGCTACGCTAATATAAGCATTTAAATTTTTTTACTAGCAACAAAATTATAAGAATATATGTTTTAATTTAACAAGCAACAACGCCATCTAGTGTTATTATAAGAAAAAAATATTCTAGTAATGGTGGTCGTAGATATTAATTACACATAATAATTCAGCAATAACCCAGTGTAAGTATTTATCTATTACACAAAAAAATACACATTATGAATAAAAAAGAGCTCCTGTCCACCATCACCACCAAAAATATCAGTTGAAAGACCACGCCTCACCGACACGAGGGTAGTCGCCCCCGGAATTGAAGCCGGGGCAAAGGGGTCCGTCCCGAGGCCCCCACCTAACCCTTCTACCAGGAAGGTCAGAAGACTTGTCGTCGTCCGTACTCTAAATAAAACGATCTTACTTACTAGTTATATACAAATACACCAATTTCGTATAATGAAAGTGTATTTTTTACTTCACTAAGTAAGTTGAGAGCAACAAAATCAAGTAATTAATTTATTAATATTATATATTAATATTTTTTTAATTACACAATTATGCTCTGCTAATTTAGTTTAATTCCCTGTTTATCAACTATGGTACAATTGTTTTGCATGGCATCTATCAGTCTTATATTTCGTTTTGTTCTTGATAATTTCCGCCTACAGGTTTTATGTCTCTATTTTACAAATTACTAATTACTAAATAGTTTTTAAAAGATTCAGTAATTTGTAAAATACATTTTTAATAAATATAGTTTGGGGGGAAAGGGATTGTTAGTAATGGAGACTAAAAATCCCATTGCTAGCAATATACCTAACCAGGTCGACCTCCGCGTGGTTCCCCCTGGAAACTATCATGATTAATTCCTGATGAATTCGTCATGATAGGCTAAAGGACCTGTTTTCATTCTCATCTATCACCCTTCACTGGTGCTCCGCCAGCGTATCCCCTTAGCGCAGACGGAGTTACCAATCCATTTTCATCTAATAAAAAAAAAATAGTTTTTCAATTTACCATCACCAGTCATTTTTTTAGCTTTGTTTATTTAAAATTCACATGTAAATAGTACCTATATACCTGATTTTTTAATCTTTATTTTCGCAGTCGATAGGCTTTGTTACACTTGTTAACAAAGTTACACTCGTTGACTTTGTTAACAAAGAAATATATCTCATATCGGTTTCATATTAATTTTATTGTATTGATTACAGGCCTCTCCCATTGGGAACTTTTGTTCAAGCATTCACTTCATCCCTTTTTTCATTTATATTTTTTATATTGCTACGGTAGCAAACGAACATCCGGCCCATCAAATTGTGAACATTTATTATAGCCTACGGACTGTTACAGTATGAGTGATTTTAAGCACTCATTTCTGGCCCTTACGAAGCTTCATTACATCCTTTTTGAAGAACCCCAAACTGTAGTATCTAAGGAACAGGTCGACAGAAAGTTCATACCTGTAATTATTTCATACTATAGATTTAGATGTATCTCTAAAACTCAGACTATAAATATGAATCATTCTCTAAAGTCATCATCTCACAAGAATTAGAAACAAGCATGTATACCCCTGGCGTTGCAAGCGTTCAAGGCTGTGGTGGCCGCTTATCTATCATCAAGCAACCCATATACTTTATTGCTCATTTTATTGCCACCCTCGTCCTATAAAAAAAAACTACTACGCCATGACTGTCCCACATAACTCTCAAAATAATGCTGTCCTACTAATACGGGTATTACGCATTTAGTTTGTACTGGCGGCCCGTCTCGGCTTCGCACGGGTGGACATTTTTACATTTTAAAAAGTTGCCTTTAAGTCTGCACACGTGACGGAAGCTTAAAAATGGAGTAACTTCTCCCGTTTTCCCAACATTTCCCTTCACTGCTCTGCTCCTATTGATCGTAGCGTGATAAAGAGTATACTATAAACTGCCGAGGAGTATGAAGAATAAATTGTACCAAGTTTCGTTAAAATCCGTATCCGTCGAGTAGTTTTTGTTTCTATAACGAACTGTCTGTATGACAGACAAACAGACAAAAATTTTACTGATTGCATTTTTGGCATCAGTATCGATCACTAATCACCCCTTGATAGTTATTTTGGAAATACATTTCATATATAAAATTGACCTCTCTATAGATTTATTATAAGTATAGAAGATACATTATTTGGAAATGCGAATTTTCAATTACTATGACTAAATGACTTCATAGGTACACATTTGATATACACATTGATATTTTTACTTACTAACATTACAAATGTGAAAGTGTGTTTGTCTATTTATTTGTTGTCTTTTAGCGCCTTAACGACATCACCGATCACTATGCAATTTAGTATACAAGTACTTTATGAGTTGGAAAAAAAGATAGGCTATTTTTACCATATCCAGTGAACATATCCCAATCACCGGTAAAAGCTAATTTCCTATATTTTTGTCAATTAGATTCCATGTAGACAGTGTTATATATATGATCCCCGCGTACCGAGTTTCTTTCAAACCCATTCAGCCGTTTAAGAAACGTCCAAACGATTTTTGACCTTTCACATTTATAATAGTAGTGAAATAGTCATAAATAACATTAAGCAAGTATATCAAAATTAATAGAGTACAAGTGGGGATAATAGAACAATTTCACCTTTGTTAAATTTCCAATATTAATCACCCACATAGGTCGAATTGTTCGGGCGTAACGCGAATCGTTACCAGTATAAATGTGACCTCGTGTGTATATCGACAAACCAGAGAATAGGTAACAGTAATGCGTATAGAATTTCTATAGGGAGCTCTAATTGAACTGGTAACGTATTTCGACATATTAAACAGTGCAGTCTAATTAGGAAACTTGATGGATAACTTTATTATGTTATGTTATAACATAAGAGAATTTTGTTACTCATCTAGCTTCTTACTACGATATTAAAAGGAAACGTCACGGCCCAATGGTATGCTACCCTCGCTAACTTATTGGCTGTTATTAATTTGGCTGATACAAAGTTATTGGCTTCTTGTGTAATTGTCATATGTATTGTTAAAGCTGTAATAAATAAATAAACCTCAAACTTCTTGAATGTCTCTGATACCAAAAAATTTTATTACAAAAAATTAATAATATAATAAATTCAATTAATCCGAGTGAAGACTTCTTCCGTATTGGATTTGCTTGACAAAATATGGGCATTACATTCACCACAATCTATGTATTACGTTTTTTTAAATACTAAATTTTATGAAAATCTTCCACTTTCGTCAAACGTGTTCTATAATTGTGATAGTACATCTATATTTTGTTCTTCGACAATCGGGTAAAAATATTTCAAAAAATGCTATTCTTATTAAATATACATGTCACGTATTTACACCTGTAACTAAATGAACACGAAAGTCTATATGAATACGTAACAGTCACATGGATTCAGCTGAGTTAACTCGGTCACAGCCGTCGAGGTCGGCTGCGCGCGCGCATAGTGCTCGTTCATAGATTAATACACAATTACCTTAAATTATGTTTCAATAAATCAAATTATTTTTCTCAATACCTACATGTTAACTTTTTTAGTTATGTGATGATAAAGTAAAGCAAAATTTATAAAAAACGTTTTTTTAATATATCAATGGAGACATCGATATTCATAATATTAATTTATTCATGTTTATTATTAGTTTCGAACGCGCAAGATTGCAAAGTTGGAGGTAAAAGGGTAAATTTGCTTTATTGTTTTTTTTTTTATATATATTATTATGCTGGCCAGTATTTTCTGTAATAAAAGAGACGGCATTAGTTTTTAGGAGTAACTACAAGTTATATTTAAATAGATGTCACATTCGATGATGCATGCACAATTTACAATTTGTAACATAAATTTTTAACCCTGTACTTAATATGGAAGAAAATAACAAAAAAAATTACAAACAATGAAACCAAAGGAACGTTTCTATCTAAAGAGCCGTAACTTTAAATTTATCTCTAAAATTTAAATTTTAATTTGATATCACAGCGAAATCTTTATTCTAAGGACCTTTTTCTTTTCTTTTATATTTCCTCTTATAGGTGGAACTAATTCATGCATTTTCTTCCAGTCAGCTCTTTCCCAGTCCATATCTTTAACCTCCCTATACGACATGATACCTTGTTTTTCCTTTATCTATCCCATGTAGTTATTCCTCGGTCTTCCCCTTTCTCTTTTGCACTCTATTTTTTCTTCTACTATGCTCTTCGTTAAAAATCGTCATGTTATATAAGGTGGTAGTATTTTGCCTCTTCTATTCTCTACTGTTTTTATTAATGTTCTTTACTCACTCACCCTTTTCAAGACTTTCTTATTTGTCACTTTTTCTGTCCAGCTTATCCTTTATATATCCATTTTCCTCCATGTCCACATTTTGAATGCTTCAAGTACCTTTCTTTCCTTTTGCGTTATTATCCATTTTTCACACCCACATACCTAATACACATGTAAATTTTTATATATTTCTAAGAACTATGACCACTACTGCCTATATCAACTAATTTTCTAGAAAGAAAAAAGGAAATATTTTATTTAAGTAAACTTACATTTAAGATTTTCGTATAGTCATTTTTTCATTCAGAATTATTATAATTTTAGTTTATGACGGTCTATAAAACGGTAATTTCGCGAAATTATCAAATTAAAATATTGAGTTAATAGATAATTTTAACAAAATGGCGCTTCAGAATTGGCCCCATTATGAGCATATTTGAAAAAAATTAGAATATCGTTAATTTTTACAGGCAACCGGTAGCACTTACCATCAAATAAGCTATATTATTTGCTATTTAAACTTCGTTAAAAAAACCTTGCTTTATTTATTTATTCTTTATTAATCGCAATACAACCCGCCTGCCAAGCATGGCAACTACTGACAAAACCCCCCAAGGGGGTGGCTTATGTTCAGCAGTGGACAGTTAAAGGCTGATACTCGTATGATAATGACGATGAATCGCATTATAAAAAAAAAATTGGTGCAAAAGCCTTTCATTTGTATATATTTAGATATAGTATTTATTTAATATTAGCGCATAAAAAACTTAATAATATTTTGTTTTTTAAATTAAAATTCATTTGTCTTCTTACAGTGTGTCGACCATGAGCAATGCTGTGGCGGATGCTGCTTCTATGGAGAATGCATAGACAGTAATGTATTTTTTTTTTATTTACTATAATAAAATAACTATATGTACAGTCATATATTATATTATGGATGCAAGTAACTCACAACATTTCTTATATCGGTCTATGGGAAAGGCTATATTCTATATAATATATTCTATATATAAAGCTATATTCAGTAGTAGGCTATTAATAGCTGAAATAATGACAATCACGATGACTTGTCATGCTTACAAGACGCTAGGATCTAATATCAAAAATCATTTGCACATAGATCTCTCTCCTATTCGTGTTTTTATCGCCAGCTATACTGATATGGCTGTATTATGGTTTGAAGGGTTGAATATGACAGTGAAATTATAGGGTACAACAGAAGCATAACACCTTAGTCATCATGAAAGAGACCCATTTTTTATAACACAGGGAGCAAACGAGCATGCGGCACACCTGATGGTAAGTACCTACCGCCGCCCATGATCACCCGCAACACCAGAAACATTGCAGGTGTGCTGCTGGCCAATGAAAATATAGTATATTATTTGTGACATGCGTATCACAAAGATTTATATGATGCTTTTCATACTTACAAGTAACAGTTAGCACTTTCCATTACATCATCAGCCTGTTTATTCGAAATTCCATAAAAATATATTTGTGTACAATCATCATCGTCAAATCAGGCGATAATATTGAAGATAGACCTTCTCCATACTAGGAGTTTTGCCAGTAGGTACTATGCTTGACAGGTGAAATAGCAACCGCAGTTAGGCTTTAATGATGTTTTAAGAGAAACGCGTCTGTCCTTCCCTCGGTCATTAAGTTTCCTTAGTCGCCTCTTAACACCCACGAGAAAAGAAGAAGTGGCACATTCTATGCCGGAACCACACGGTAGTATGTAAAATTTGTGTAAAATATCTTAATAATTGAAGATTGGGTCCCACATCTAAAAACTATTTCATATAAACTAAATTCTTAAACCGATTTTGATAAAGTTTCTTCGGGACTAATCTGTAAGGACATATATCCTTTCAGATAAAAAAGAATTATTCAAATCGGTTTAGCACTGACGGAATTATAAGATAAAAAAACATAAGAAAAAAATATTTTGAATTGAGAACCTTTTTCTTTTTGTAGTCGATTGAAAATAAATACCATTTAGTTTTTACGTTTTTCTTTTTTAGACGAGAAATATATTTTGTGTGAGTACACAAAACAATGTTTATTCAACAGGTCTGGACAGGCGTCCTGACCGATTTTACCTCCCTAAAATTCCGGGAAAGAAATACCTTTGGCTAAAAAGTCACCTTTAAGGAAAATGTCTAGACATTTCGCGGTGACCTAGAGGTTTTACCAGCAAACATTCTTTTTTTTATTCTCGTGGACATACGAGTATGTTAACTATGTCTTGACTAAAACTATTGTATACAAGTATAAATCGAAATAATTAGCTTAATTCATGTTAGTAAAACTAAACATATTTCCAAAAAAATTTATCAAATATATACCTGCAAAAAGTTTAGAAACACGGTCATTCAACTACCCATATTAACTTCATTACAGGGCTCTCCGTTGTAATTAGGGCACTCAACATTTTTTGTGTTTTATATGACCCATGTTTTTTTAGGAGTCTTCAGTTTCCTTAGTATACATACTAACAATTTTAGATTTAACACAGTATCAAGAGTAGCTTTAACCACAGAGAAAATTTACTGTAAATTAACAACTAAATACTATACCACCTCTGGGCATAAGTCTGTCCTCATAAAAGGATAAGTACTCGTACTATTGCAGTGGTTTGATATAAATCAAAATAAATCAAAGAACTTTATCTAAGTAGACTTTTTTATGTAATTTAGAATGGCCAGCATGCTGATAGCCCACCTAATGAAAAGTGGTAACCGTCTATAGACATGAGCAGTACCATGAACATAACGGAGTATACTGTTTTGCCCATGATACCCCCCATGCGTTGCCAATCCTGAGGATTCAGGTGTTATTCCTCTGTACCCTGTAAATTTACTGTATTGTGTAAGCCTACTTTAAATATAGTTCCTTTGGGTCGTACGTATAATCCCTTTTAAACTATCATTTTTTGTTATTCTGCTGTAGTTTTACAAAGTTATCGTTCATTTTCAAATTTTGAAAGTTCAACCTTAATATGTCATAGGCACAGCAACTCAAATATATTTTCTTTTAAAGTTTTTTACATATTCTTATTTTTCACTTATAGAGATTCAGTTTTTCTTGTTTAAAGAAATATAAAAGTTCAGATTTATCTTCATCACTTAAATTCTTCACAATACGTACTTGTCAACTTGACTAATAGATTTGACTAATAGACCACCACTATACATTTGAACATTCTAAAAGAATAGAATACAATAGCAAGAACGTCGATTAATTTATTACATTGTTAGACTATGTGTGCGTTAATTCCACAAAGTTTTTAAATTATCACAAATAAATAGCTAATAAATAGTTGAATGCACTATTCTTTAGAGAGAATACTTATATTTTATTTATTTTTAATTTATTTTTTATTTCAAACAACAGGTTTGCAAACAGGCAACTACATAAGATAACTTAATATGTATGTTCGTTAGATAAATACCCTAACGAGCATACATATTAGGAATACGAGTATATAAAAATTATATAATATTATGCACACCTTATTTAAATACACTATCGGGTCTTAACGCAATGAAAAATCTGGGAACCTACCATGAAATGAAATTCCGAAGTTTCGGACTCAATTTCGTGTTTTCGTTCATACCTAATACGGCCCACTAAATAGAGCTTAACATTACGTTCGGCATAAATCCTACCATAAAGGTCCAAAGGAATAATATTTTAATATTTTTAAATAGTAAGTATTATGTAATTTTAACATCAAATTTATGTTTCGTTCGGCTCCGAAATTTCGGAAAACATTTCATGATAGGCCCTCTGCTCCTATCGTAACGATGACGTGGTGTATAATCCATGTCGAAACGTCAGCAGTAAAGAAAAAGGTATGTAGGTACTATTTACCTGCAAAATTTTTCATATATTGGCGATGTGTGATGCGCTATGTCAGAAGGCTGTCCCCGAAATAACACATTTCGGCCAAAATTCTTCAATCATGACGTATATACCAAACCTCATAACAAGTGGTTCAGAAAAATTAAGATGAATTTAAAACATTCTTCTTTTAAAAGTTGTTTAAAAATAAAACCCTTTATTTTATATATACATAAAATACTAAAACTAAAATTACAATAGTAATTGTGGGCCACAAAATACCGAATATTCTACAGATTTCTTGGCCGAATAGCAGAATATAATTAGTTCTTAAATATAAGTTATTAAGTTGTATATAAGTAAATATAAGTTACGAGTTACTTCTAGTATTTGCCTAACATGATGCGGGAAACTTAAATCTGATGAATTTTCGCTCGTTTATTCAAATATATTTACTTCCCTCCTACGCGCTCTATTTCTGACGCAAATAAAAAAAAATTGTCTTTCTACACCAAAACATCTCATTTTTTAATTTTAATTACAATAACTATAACGCATAAATATTTATATTATACTTTTTTGTTAATTTTTGTAACAGAGAATTTTATTATGTACCTATATAAGTACTTTATACTTAATGGCCAAAAGATGACCAGCAGCGACCTTCTTTAAAAATCACCAAAGTCTACTACCAAACCCTTCACTAGAGGAAACCTATATTCAACAGTGGACAGTTAACAGCTTATATGATAATAATTTTATGATAAATATTTGAATTCAAAATTTAAATGATTATTAGAAAAAATTTAATATAATTTTACCAAAAATATCTGTCTACTACATACGATGGATGAACAGTAGCGTTCCTCTTAAAACATCTCTAAAGCCTAACTGCGGTTACCAATCCGCCTGTTAAGCATGGCAACTACTGGTAAAACCTCCAAAGAGGGAGGAGGTTCAGCAGTGGACAGTTAAAGGCTGGTATGATGATGGTGATATATCTACAACAATTATATAAATGTACCAAATAGTGTGAAGATACTTGACATTCGACCAAATAGGATAAAAATATTGAATACCCAAAAATTACCAAATATTCCTTGCAAATCTAGTAAAAACAAAACATTCATTTTTTATTAATCTTTTAAAAAAACAGCCACTTTCTTATCATTGTCGCCTTGGCCTTTACGGCTTTATTTGATGTTAAAGTCTACGAAGGACGCTTGTTATTATCTGCTAAGATGTACAGCGTACCCCTTTCTAAATTTAGCATCAGTACTCTTGGAGATCTGTGTAAACCGAGATAATAACAATGTAGCGACCTCTATCTACAATTATGTTGCAAATTATTTAACGCCACGCTGAATAGAATTCTGAAACAATGGAAAAAGACAATAGTTTGGTTAACACTTTAAGTCTGCGAGATGAACATTTTGTCCATTTTCTAAATTTATATATATATATTCTTTGTATAAACCGTGTACTTGAAGAACATTTCTGCGATATCGCATGCAATTTTTCACATTATTGCAACTATGAATAACAAATCAGACAAATATTTCACCAGAGGGAGACTTTGTACAAAAGCCGTCTGCTTGAGTATCTCTTTTCCATTTGCATTCCTGCCTTGAAGCAGTTGTGTTTGCATGGTTGTGTTTCGATTTGAAGGGTGAGATATAGTAATAAAATTACAGGGCAAAAAGAGAGAGAAAACCTTAGTCCTCGGAAATAGCAACGCATGATGGATATCATGGATGACAGAGTATACTCTGTTATGTCCATGATACTGTTCTAGACAACAGTTACCACTTTCCATCAGATGGGCTATTAGTTTGTTTGACATTTAAGTTGCTAAAAAACAATTTTGAGAATTATGTAAATACCTTGCCATATCTTTTTAAATGCCGTGTTGTCCCGGCATAGAATAGGCCCCCCTTTCCTTTCCCGTGGGTGTCGTAAGAGGCAACTGTGGGAGAGCGAGAAATAGACAGCAGCGTCATCTTCAAAGCCCGACTCCGTTTGCCAATCCGCCTGCCAAGCGTGGCAACTACTGTCAAAATTCCCCAAGAGGGATACTTATGTTTAGCAGTAGTAACGGCTAATATGATGATGTGGTACCTTCAAATGAACATTGTAATATTATATGTTAAATATTTTTTTATATTAAAATGATATTTAAATTTATACTAAGTACTAAAATAATTGTAATTATTAAAAGAATAAATTGTAAAGAGTGAGTACGATAAAATAAATTTTATTGTACTATATAACCTTCTCCAAAAATGGAACGGTCCTGGACCACCATCGTCTACTGACTCCCATACAACACATTTAAATTCGTTGCACCAAACTCTAGAGGATCGTTATGAAAGGAATGATTACCTTTAATCGTTGTGGCGTACTCCTGTATTTTATCATTTTATAATAATTATGTAGGAGCAAATAAAGAGGTCTTAATTTAAATAAAAATACTATCCACATTATACTAAACTGATTACAACTATATTGTCCACAGCATACAGATCGTGCCTGTCTCCGTACGACGTTTGCCACGAGCACTCATGCCGAGGCGAAGAGAACTGCGTAGTCTACGTACCGCCTCAGTGCCCCGGCTGCGATCCCTTACCGCTGTGTATGATTACAGAAGATTAACCCCCATATAGCTTCGTTAGACTACTCTATCTCATATCAGACCCCCTAAATAAATGGCAACTCAATGCATTGATGGAATGGTGATCGCTAGCGAATCCGTAAGATTGAATAAGATAGTAATCTTCGTTGTCTCGTTCCAACTCCTGGAGCAGCCACCCTAGACAAATTACAAACGAATCTATCAATAGAATCATTATCGCTAGCAATTCCATGAGATTGAAAGAGATGGCGACTTGCGCTGTCGCTGTCTTATTCTTTCTCGTGAACCCAACCGAAGAGGCTGGCATCTAAATATCTTACTAGACAAGTAGCAAAGTATTCTATCGATAATCCACAAGATAAAATGAGTCGGCGACATAAGTTTGTCGTGCGATCTCTAACCGAAACGATTCTATCGACGATTAATGATGAGGAGAAGGACCTTCTAGACAAGTGATTAACTAATCTAACGATAGACACGTTAACGCTACCACAAGTATGAGATAGGACGAAATAGCGGCGTATTATAAGAACACACAAGAAACTATGCTGACGAATATAATGCGCAAGATAATTGCCAAATATTTTTATAAAAATTTTCGTATAAAACAAAAGATGTTAATTGTTAACATCCCCTTTTTAGAATGTAATTATCTATACGATTGTAAAAAAATATAGTTAAATTTACCTTTTTATTTGAAAATTATCATTTAGAAAGGTTCATCATTTTTCAATAGAATTTCGATCTTGCAATTAAATTAATTAAAGTAATTCATAGTTAAAGATATACTACGTACAAATGTAATGAAACGACATATTTGTAAACTTAATTTGTTAGGTTTTATTAAGCGTAATTTATTGTTAACAACTTCATAAGTACACATTACATTTACAACAACCGTTTTGTTCTCATACCCTGTATTAAGAAAAACTCAGCAATGAACATCGAACAATCCAGAACACCCAAACCCTTGCCACTTTAGAAAGGTTCGTTTCCTAAATTGGCCCGATCGAGAATTGAACCCAGGACCTCATTACGTAAATCAATATGTCTAACGTTACTCTGCGAAAATCGTCAACAACAATATCAAGTATACTCGACAATGAAGTTGGTAAAAAATATACGTGAATATATATATATTAGTGATTGCTACTTTTGCAATAAAATATTATGAATATTATTCCTCTAAGTCTGTAAATAACCATGAAAACTTAGTACTATCTCTTAGAATAAACATTGTTTTTTGTTACGAGAACAAAAAACAATGTTTATTCTTAGAGATATCCTTTATTTTATATAAGACACGTAAGGACCTAATGTAGTTATTGCCCTAAACAGCCATACAAAAAAAAAAAAAATCAATAATAACTTTAAACTACCTAACTAAACAAGTGAAACGTTAAAGACAGAATATTAACATTTTATATTTTACTCGTAATAAAAGGTAACAGCCAGCGCTGTAGTATCATTTACATATATATATGTATATATAAAGCAATGTAAAACGACCTCCCACTAGATGTAGTGACGATCTCAAATGCATTGCAGGGAGTCAGTGGGCGCAGATGGCTGAGGACCGTGTGTTATAGCAGTCTATGGGGGAGGCCTATGTTCAGTAGTAAACAGACAATGGCTAAGATGAAGATATATATATATAAGCATAAAAATAAATAGAATGGGTAAAAACAACACTCATTTACTTTGCTTGGTGAAAATAGAAAGACTTACCAAAATATACACTTCTTCCCTTCAAACCCCACATTGGTTGGGAGGGTTGTCAAAAATGTATTCGCATTTATCAAATATTTTTACAACATGTATGTGCGAGTGAGCGACACGTATGCTCTTACTGCGATGTCAGTTGCTTGCGAACCCTGAATTATTAGGACGCAAGGTGGACGTGAACTGTCAGCTTACCAATATAATTATTATTATAACGAGAATGTCAGTTCTGCTTAAATATTTATTCTTATTATTTTAGTTTATTATTCTTAATTTCATTAATAGACCTATACCTTTTATATATCCATACTTTTAAACGATTACTAACACTTGAAAAAGTTTAAATGTATTTTAAAAATGTGTCTGGGCTGGTAGAAACTATTTGTACGTAAGTAGTAAAATTGTATTTATGTTATGAAGTATCCATTTGTTTGTGTACATATTGTTAATCTTTATAATCTGTATCATTTTTTAAAGTAACAATAAAAAGTTTTCATTCATTTATTATAAATACTAGCGGCCCGTCCCAACTTCGCACGGGTGGACATTTTTACATTTTAAACAGTGGCCATTAAGGCTGCACAAGTGACGGAAGCTTAAAATGGAGTAACTTCTCCCGTTTTCCTAACATTTCCATTTACTGCTCTGCTCCTATTGATCGTAGCATAATGAAAAGTATACTATAACCTGCCCAGGAGTATGAAGAATAATTGTACCAAGTTTCGTTAAAATCCTTCTAGTAGTTTTTGTTTCTATAACGAACATACAGACAGACAGACAAAAATTTTACTGATTGCATTTTTGGCATCAGTATCGAACACTAATCACCCCCTGATAGTTATTTCTGAAATATATTTCATGTACAGAATTGACCTCTCTACAGATTTATTACAAGTATAGATTACAATGAGCCAAAACCAAAACTGTTTAAATTATAGTTTTATTAATATTTACCTATTATTAATTACTTTGATCCACGAATAGTTTAGTTTTTAAAATGTGACATAGTTTAAGATTTCATAAATATATGTATTACATATGTTATAGGATTAAGACTGGAAAATAAAACAATTGACAAATACATTAATTTATTGTAGTATTACTAAATAAATAAGAAATAAAATGGGAAAAATACATGAACAATTTCTCACTTTAATTGTTGTTTTTTTCTACAGGATATGTTGAAAATTACTTGATCAAGTCAATGTCATTGAGTCATTGGTTTATGATAGCAAAAAAACTTATATTGTTATTTAAATTAGGTTACACTTTTTAATTACTAGATAACTTTATTTAAATTCAGTACATAATAGTTTTAAATATGCACGACAGAAAAAACGAAACCTGTACAAACGTTTTAAAAAATAGACAAATATGAATAATAACGCAGTACGAGTAGTAATGTACTACTCGTGTAAGAGAAAGTCGCCCTTGGATGTTAAGAGTTTCGAGGCCACCTTCAATATATATAAAGGTCTCTGATTGTCCTCCAAAACAAGCAGTGATAATAAAAGTATCCAAATAGAATGTGGCATGGTGAGCTGGATTATTGAGTTTCGTAAAATATGGTTGAGCGCCGTGATGGATGTCTTATCCATCATATTCGTGAACGGATGCTGCCTGTAGAGGCTGATCTGTTCTGGACACTGTAACTAATTTAATTTATAAATTTATTCTAATGCTATTTATATGTTAATATCTTAATCTTTACAATGATACTTTTAGACCTTATTAGTAACAATACAATTCCACCAGGCTGGTTGGTTCATTTATTTTTTTATACATACATACATATATGTGTACATGGCGGACTTAACGCTAAGAGCATTCTCTCCCTGTCAACCATAGAGAAGTGTCAGAATACTCGAATGTGATACTAGTAATTATTGATATACATACATTCTAAAATTACATATATAAACAAATAAATATACATAAATAACAAATATAATTACACATATATAAAATATACTTTATCAATATAGTGTATTGGTATATTAATAAAGTCTCTTTAGAAACATGTTTGCACATTTACAAGAGCTTACATGCGGGGCTGTGTCCGGTACACTAATTAAAATATGCACACGGAAGTTTGCGGCATACTAAAGTAGGTAAACCACAGGCTACATATATAATATCTATGAATTTATCTTATACTCGTATCTACACGAAAATAACAAAATACGATGAAAATGATGATGAAGGTAGGTATTTCCTGGAATTATCGATATAGGCCCGGAATAAATACTATATTCATTTATGTATTATTATTATGAAGATAATTAAGTAAGTATATGGTATTATTTATTTATTTATATTTATTATAATCAATACTGATACAGAAATACAACCCTGATTAAGAATAAATAAGTACAATAATTTTGAGTCAAGTCTGAGGTAAGGTTTGACATTTTTAAGTAACATGCAATGACAAACTAATAATAATAACGTAAAATCTTTTATTTATTTATTTAAGAGACCTTAATTGAATTAATGATTTTACTATATTAAAACGCAATATTTAACTTTAAAGTTATTCCCACATACGAGTATGTATCCATTTTGTAAACTTTTTAGTAATAATGTTGTATGCACGTAAATACAGAATTTTAACATCACATTATTTTCAGTGAAAGAACAGCTTACGAGCTTTAGGTACTCAAATGTTGAGTTTTGTGTGAATTTTAACCGTCGTTCCTTTGTTTATTGCCTCTAAGCCAGAGACACAATGAGCCGAACGAAACACCAACCGCGTTCTTAAGTTCACATAGGATTTACACTCTATGTATACAGTAGATGATATACATACATACATACATATTTGTCACGCTTGTCTCCCAATAGGTTTGGCAGAAACAATGGAACGCCAAATGCTTCAATTCAAACAAACCTCTTTCGCTTCCACATTCATTAATCTTTTCATACACGCTCACCTGTTACGGGTATTTTTAATTTGGCTCTTCTTCAGCATGTCTCCTATTTAGTCAATATACGTCCGTCTAGGGCGGCCCTTACCGCCATCTCCATTCACTCTTGCTCGATAAATCTCTTTCGTAATTATTCTTTCATCCATCCTCTCCAAATGGCCAAACCAACGTAACATTTCTTCTTCGATTTTTATCACTACATCGTCTTTCAGTCCACACTTCTCTCTAATCACACTGTTTCTTACTCTATCTTTTAATGTAATAGAGTTTAATGTAATAGAGTAGAATGTACTAAGAGCAAGAACTATCAAGATTGGTTCCTAATTAGAAAAAATATCGCATAAAATATATACAAGTAAGAAATATACGCAAATTTGAGAAGCAAATACTTAATCTGTGGAAATATAAAAAACTTATTAGAAAATTGTCCAACCATGAATATATATAATGTTATTTTCAATCGGATTTAATCAAATAAACATTTTTCACACGTATGTGTTTGCAACCCTTATTCTTTTTAAACGTTAAAATAACATATACCAAAATCCATTTATCAGTCAGATTAAAAGACACTTCGGTCTAAAGCTTGGAGTGTATTTGTTAGGTTTATTCTGAAGTGTACTTATGAAAAACAAAAAAAAAATGTATATCATATTACCCAATCCATTAAATCCTATCACATTAGATAATTGTATGGTTTCATAATATTTAGAAATTTTATTTAATATATATGAATACAAAATATGAAATATATATCTGAAACCTAACTGTTAGGTTTTTTTTCTATAATAATCAACATGGTAATTCTTTATTTTTAGCAAATCTGAACTTTGAAAAAAGTACCATATATATGACACATACATTAAATATTTAAAAAACACTATGTTATATATATTAAATGTAGCGACATTAAACAAAATAATTCGAATAAAATAATCATAAAACCCTGTCTAAATTAGACCTAAAAAACTCTCTCTTAATAACATCTACATTGTATACCTATAGAAAAAATTCTATATATATTATATAATTTGAGAAGCAAATATACGTGATAGAATCCGATTTAACGAGGATATCCGCAAAAGAACCAAAGTAGAGACAAAAGGTATTCTGAACACGTTAAAGCCTATATCATATTACCCAAACCTTAAATCCTATCACAGATAATTGTATGGTTTCATTAAATATGCACTCTATCTGAAACCTCTACTTCATGGTAACTTTAAGCAAATCTATAGTACCATAGATATACACATACATTAAATATTTCTATGTTAATATCTTAAATGTACCCGACATAGCCACTACCTACTCTCTCTTAATAACCTACATTGTATACCTATATTCTATATACATTATATAATTTCGGATACGTGATAGAAGAAAAGGATATCGCAAAAGAACCAAAGCGACATAGCGAAGGATAAGCAACTAAAGTGGCAAAGCGCTCGCCACATAGCTCCAAGAACCGACAACCGATAGGGAAGAAAGGTTCTTAAGTGGCGACCGCGTACGGGTAGCACATGTAGGACGACCCCCCACTAGATGCAGTGACTACCTGAAATGCATTGCAGGGAGTCAATGGATGCAGGTGGACTTTGTACAAAAGTCGTTTGCTCCGGTACTTCTGTCCCATACGTGTTTCTACCGTGAAGAAGTTGTGTTTGCATGGCTGTTTAGGTATGAAGGGTGGGATATAGCAGTGAATGTACAGGGTCCAGAGGAATAACACCTGAGTCTTCAAGAATGGCAACGCATGGGGGGTATCATGGGCAGAACAGTATACTCTGTTATGTCCATGGTACTGCTCATGTCTATAGGCGACGGTTACCACTTTATATATATTCTTTATTGCACTTGTAAGTTACATATAAAATAATCTATTTATAAATGTTGTGAGCAAGGGTGGACTTATCTCTGACAGAGATCTCTTCCAGTCAACCCAGTACAGTAAGAAAGCATTTCGTTAGCGGGCAGCTGAAGTGCTACAACTATTAATACATAAACAAATATACAGTTAAATAAAATATTAAAATATATAATAAAATATTACATAAATACATACACTATAAATATATACAATACCTACCTACTTATATAATATATGTTAAAATAAATTAACTTTTCGTCAGGTGGGCCGTCAGCTTGTTTGCCATTCTAAGTTGCATAAAAGAAAATTCACATGTAATATTTGTTCTGTAAACCGCAATTTTTTTTCCGCAAAAAAACAATTTCAATCGACAAATCATCTATACGTATATAAAACCAATACGGAAGCGAACTCAATATAATTTTTTCAAAGGGTTTCCTTATTCATTTCGTTTACAGATACTAGAATGAGATTTCCGGCAATTTGCTCAGGAGCACGAAATAATGGATTCCGCGTGGGCGAAGCAGCGTGAAACAATTAGTTTCCTCTAAAAATATGTAAGGGTGTAGTTATATAGTTACGTGGTACCAAATACGTGAATTTATTGGGTACAGAGGAATAACACCTGAGTCCTCAGGAATGGCAACGCATGGGGGGTATCATGGGCGAATCAGTATACTCTGTTATGTCCATGGTACTGCTCATGTCTATAGGCGACGGTTACTACTTTCCATTAGGTGGGCCGTCAGTATGTTTGCCATCCTAAGTTGTATAAAAAAAAACCAAAGAAAATAATTGCAGTGTAGTTTCAGATTTACAATATTAATAAGGATATGTAGGAATTGCCACGTGGTCCCGGCATAGAATGGGACAACCCCTTCTTTTGCCTTAGATATCGTAATAGGCGTCTAAAGGAATTAAATGGTCGAGGTATGGACAGCAGCATTCCTTCTAAAACTTCACCGAAACCTAACTGCGGTTGGCAATCCGCCTACCAAGCATGGCTACTACTAGCAAACCCCCCCCCCCTTTATCAGGAGGACTATGTTCAGCAGTGGACAGTTAACAGCTGATATGATGATGGTGATGATGATAAACACAGGGTGTCTCTATCTTGTAATTAAAATGATATATCTCATATTAACACGAATCCTAATGATAAGTAATGAAAAACAACCAGAACATAAACCAAACCAGTTTATATTTATATGACAGCCATATATATACATATACATATACATATACATATACATATACATATACATATACATATACATATACATATACATATACATATACATATACATATACATATACATATACATATACATATACATATACATATACATATACATATACATATACACTGTCCTATAAATCTCAGAACAAATTTTATCACTAAGTCAGTGGAAAATATACAAATAATTATTACTTTCTCTTCAAAGCAAAGCTAGCGACAGTAATTATATGGAAAGGCTAATGAAGCAATAGAAATAACAGCTAAATATGTGCAGCTCGACTGCTATCTACTGGACCCTCTAATTATTGAATATGTACCAATAAACTAGAATAGTATGTATCTACTTGTAGTATGATAGTATCTATGAAATAGATGTACACATGTACACAAATCTATTGGCAACGCCGGCGTCACTTTGAACAGGAAAATGTTTGTGTGAAATCTATGCAACCAGTTCATTGAATTTGAAAATTTTGCGCTATAAAATAGCTAAGTCTTTAATGATACTGATCAATATATTTTGGATAATTTAACAAATTTATAAATTTTATTGTGTTAATATTTCTAGGTAGTTGAAAAGATTCATATTCCAGTTAGATCGGTATCAGGAA